AACTTTCTTGAAAAGAATACATGGAGATATATGTGGGCCAATACACCCACCATGTGGACCATTTCGTTACTTTATGGTATTAATTGATTCTTCTACAAAATGGTCACATGTTTGCCTACTTTAAATTAGGAATGTAACATTTGCTAGACTACTTGCTCAAATTATAAAATCGCAAGCACAATTCCCCGATTACTCAATCAAGACTATTCGTCTTAACAATGTTGGTGAATTTAGATCACAAGCATTTGATGATTATTGTCTGTCAATTGGGATTGAAATTGAACATTCAGTTGCACATGTTCATACACAAAATAATTTAGCGGAATCGTTTATTAAACGTCTACAACTTATTGCTAGACCATTACTTATGAAAACAAAACTCTCAACTTGTGTTTGGGGTCATGTCATATTACATGCTGCATCATTGGTTCGTATAAGACCAACTGCCTATCATCAATATTCACCTTTGCAACTTGTATTTGGTCATGAACCTGATATTTCTCATCTACGAGTTTTTGGTTATGCTGTCAAAGTTCCTATTTCACCCCCACAATGTACTAAAATGGGTCCCCAACGAAGATTTGGAATTTATGTGGGTTTTGATTCACCATCTATTATTAGATATCTTGAACGTTTAACGAGTGACTTATTTACTGCACCTTTTGCAGATTGTCATTTTGATGAAATGACTTTCCCAATTTTGGGAGGAGAAAAACTATATCCTGAAAAATAAGATAGAATTTCTTGGAATGAGACAACTCTATCTCACTTTGATCCCCGCAGCAATCAATGTGAACAAGAGGTTGAAAAAAATCATTCATTTGCAAAGAGTTGCAATTCAACTACTTGATGTATTTGTTGACACGAGAAAAGTGACACAATTATATATTTCAGCAGAAAATATTTCAACAAAAATTAATGTCCCTGCAGGACAATCTGTTGTGGCAAATGAATCTCAAATACACCAGAAGCGTAGTCAACCAGGTAGTTCAAAAGACTCTGTACCTCGAAAAAGAAGAGTACAGGAGAAAAACCAACCAAACATTTCAAAAGAAATCACATTAGAAAAGATTGATCAATCAAATATTGAATGTACAGTTCCTGAAAAATCAGAGGTGTCCAAAAATAATGAGGTCTCAATAAATTATATGATATCCCATAAATTATGGGAACGGAATAATATTATTATAGACAAATATTTTCGTCTTTAACATGGCTCTTGATATTATGCAAAATGAGGATCCTGAACCACAGTCTGTTAATGACTGTCAAAATAGAAATGATTGGCCAAAATGAAAAGAAGTCATACAGGCAGAATTGAATTCTTTGGAGAAACGAAAAGTGTTTGGACTAGTAGTTCGAACACCTGAAAATGTAATCCCTATTGGATACAAATGAGTTTTTGTACGAAAAAGAAATGAGAATAATGAAATTACAGGATACAAAGCCCGACTAGTGGCTCAAGGTTTCTCCCAAAGACCGGGAATTGATTATGAGGAAAGATATTCTCCCGTAATGGATACCATCACTTTTAGGTTCTTAATTAGTTTGACTGTGTCACAAGGGTTCGATATGCGCCTTATGGTTGTAGTAACTGCCTACCTATATGGTTCACTTGATAGTGACATATATATATGAAAGTCCCTGAAGGATTTAAGGTGTCAGGAATAAATGATACATATCCGACAACTATGTTCTCAATTAAATTGTAAAAATCATTATATGGATTGAAACAATTCGGACGCATGTGGTATAATCGCCGTAACGAATATTTGTTGAGGAGGGTTATAAAAATAACGATATCTGCCCATATGTTTTCATAAAGAAAACAAATATTGGATTTACAATTGTTGCAGTTTATGTTGATGATTTAAATTTAATTGGAACTCTTGAAGAGCTCAACAAAACTACAGATTATTTGAGAAATGAATTTGAGATGAATCATTTGGGGAAAACCAAATTTTGTTTTGGATTACAAATTGAACATTTTTCAGAGGGATTATTTGTTCATCAATATACTTATACAGAAAGTCTTGAAACACTTTTATATGGATAATGCACATCCATTGCCATCACCTATGGTTGTTCGATCACTTGATGTGAAAAAAGACCAATTTTGTCCACTTGAAGATGGAAAAAAGATTTTTGGTCCTGAAATACCATACCTTAGTGCAATTGGAGCATTAACTTATCTTACAAATTGCACTCGACCTGACATAGCTTTTTCTGTAAATCTCCTTGCAAGATATAGCTCTACATCAACTCAAAGGCATTGGAATGGTGTTAAATATATTTTTCGTTACCTAAAAGGTAATATTGATATGGGACTGTTTTATTCTCAAAAGTCAGGATCTACATTAGTAGGATATGCATATGTAGGTTATCTCTCCGATCCACATAAAGCTAAATCACAAACAGGATATGTGTTTACACGTGGAGGAACAGCTATATCATGGAGATCTGTGAAACAATCATTGACAGCAACATCCTCAAATCATTCTGAAATTATTGCAATCCATGAAGCAGTGCGAGATTGTGTATGGTTGAGGAATATGACCCATCATATCCAATCATCATGTGGATTGACTTCAACAAAAGATAGTCCAACAATTTTGTTTGAAGATAATGCAGCTTATATCGCACAACTCAAGGGAGGCTATATCAAAGGCGACAGAACGAAGCATATTTCTCCAAAATTCTTTTATACAGATGAACTTCAAAAGAATGGTGACATTGATATTCAACAAATTCGCCCAAGTGACAATGTGGCTGATCTATTCACAAAAGCGCTGCCAACATCTACATTCAAGAAATTAGTTTATGAGATTGGAATGCGTTGACTCAAAGATTTTCAGTGATCAATATCAGGGGGAGTAGCTGTACTCTTTTTACTTCGCTTAGATTCTGTCCCATTGGATTTTCCTAGTAAAGTTTTAATGAGGCAGCATTTAATTTTAATACTCCAAAATTTTAATACCCCTGTAATCCTAAAAATTATTACCATTGTATCCCTAATTCTTACCTATAAATATAAGGCTTTGATTTTCAATAATACACACAAAAAGTTTATTGAGTTCTCTCTATTCTCTTTTCCTCTCATTTTATAACATATTTGTGTATCTAAATGATTAATCAACTTGTTTATTGTTTGGAAAGAACAAGGGACGGATCTTATTAATTGTGCGACTAATACAACTACCTTCTACTTTCATAAAGTAGTTAGAGAAAAAAATTCTTCAATTCCCAAAAATCGAAACTCTATCAATCTTTGTACATATTATATATCACGTTCAATCTTTATTTAACATCTCACTAACAAGATGAAATGAGTTCAAAAATAATTTATTCATGAATTTCATGATAAATATAAAAATAGTCTAACATTATTAGTCTTCATTTAAACTTATATATTAACTTACATTAAATATATTACTATAATGTCGATAGGCAAACCACGAAAATTAACCAAACCAAATCAGTTTGGTTTGAAAAATAAAATGATTTAATTTCTTTTAAAAAAAATTCAAACCACATAAAATATACGACGAACCGCCCAAACCGAACTGCATTCACCCCTAAGTTTTAATTGAATACACTGTGACTTTTGAAAACTTTTTAAAAACCTATAAAAATCTCAATTGAATATACCTATACTTTTAGAGTCTTAAAAAGTTTATATTGAATACCCATAAACTTTTTAAATATCAAAAAGTTAATAAAAATCTCAATTGAAAACCCACCCCCCTCCTTAAAATTGCTCTGTGAAGCACAAAGCATATCTGTTTGAACCCCTTCTTTCCCAAAAACTCCTTTTTTTTTTCAAAATCTACTTTCAACCACATATTCTCCCATAAGATAATTTTTTTACAAAAACCCAAACTTTTCCTGCTTTTTTAAACCACAGAAAAGCAGCAAATTATAAGCAGATTATGCATTCCAAATCTTGTTATACATCCACCACATAGCATGCATGTATGCCAAAACAATACTCAAAAACAAACGTCAACACTAATTCAATTTCCTTAATGCTCAAGATAAGATACACACTGCACTAGTAGCATACTCGTAGCTAAGAAAAACAAATGCACACAATCTGTCAGCAGCTTCAACCTTTCTCCTTTCACAAACCTGATTAAAGTTAAACCTGGAGCTACGCCAGGGCAATTAATGTATATTCACCGTAGCCAGACTGCTCAACAAAACATATCATCTGTGTATGTCCGTATACTATTTATATATATAGCGACCAACAGTACACACCATTCCAGATATGTATTTACAGTTCAGCAACAGGAAATCATCAATCTACCAAGTTAAAATCATCTCCATACCAATCAAGTCAATCGCATTCACGGTGAGATCCATAGCTCGGCCAATCTGGTGTTATATTTCTGTATGCACTATATAACTTCACTTCTATCCTTAAACCAGTTTTGACTAAAAGGATCAGGATTTCTTTAGCCCACTGAGTAGTAAAGATACATCAGTATCTGTAGCATTCAGGTATAACCCTCGTGTCCAAGCATTTTCGTCTACTCCAGCATTTCTTACGCCAGATTTGTCCAACAAGATAGAATCTGAGCCAAAATCAGATGTGTGCTCGCTTTGATATAAGTAACTCAACAAGCATTTTCACTGCAGAAGCATCTAATGAGATAACCTCTTGCAATAAAAACTAAATATCATTGTGAAAAGCCGCATTTTCAAATTTCATCAAACCTAACAACAAAATCCAGGCCAAGAACATAAATATTTATAAATGCACGATTTGAACTATTCTTCTTGCATCTGGTGAAGGAAAGTTAACTGGTGACACGAAAAACATCTATCCAGTTATTTACGCAGAAAAAGCTAGCCCCAAAGCTTCATTATATTTTCAAGCAGCGAGTACAATCTTCAATATAATTCCTCCACTGTTTTCTTCAATGGTCTTAAATTTTCAAGTGGGTCTGAGTTTATGTTAAATACTATGTGTCATAATTATTAATTTGATTAGTCAAATGCAAAAATTGATTCTTATTAACGTTCACCATTTGAGCTAAAATCAGGTTCGGATTAAAAAGAAATGAAAGTAACCATCACAGAGGTGAAGCTTACCATATACAACAAATCTATGAACCAGAACTAGACTTCTGGATCCACACTTGTTTCTGCAATTCCGTCATGTTAAAAGATAAACAAATCAGCAAAAGTACAAGAGAAGAAACTGCTTGTTGTAAGTTGGAAATTAAAGCATACCTCATTTGAACTGTAGCCAGCAGAACCTCCACGTTTTAAGGTTTTGCTCTCTACAACTGAAGGGCCATCTGCATCCTTGATATTGTATGCTGATCCACGACGACCACCATGCCTAAAAGAACCTACACCTATCCATAACTCATAAGTTCACTGGTATAAGCAGTATACATATGCTCTTTCTCTATAACTATAACTAACCATTATCAACTGAGTGATGACTTCCACGTCCACTTCCAGTGGATCTGAACTCTGTACCATGCACACTCGGCATGTCAATTTTCACTTCCCCATGAGTTCCTACAAATTTCACAATAAATTTTTATCCAAGACTTACAAAATGTAGCTAAACCATATCAATTGCAAATTATGCAAGACAATATTAGGTTGGGACTTCGAATATTATCATTTCAGTAAAATTTGCAAGCAAATCACTGGAATAATTTCTTCCAGATTCCATAAAAAACTCTGTAGTCACAATACCTTCTGCAGAATCCCCTCCTGGAATGCTTTGGGAAGTATACGACGATAAAGACTCATCACTTGCATGTGAGCCATCTGAACGCTGAAGAGGAGTCCAAACTCCACGATCAGGCCTATCTTTATTCCTTGTCCGTCTTTCACGCTTCTCAGTGTGGACAGCATGTATAGCATTGCCATCAGCCTTATGGTCAGGAGCCCCATTAATGTCCTTCTGAAACAACCGCACAATTTGAGGCCGGGGAGGTTTTTTGTCCCTGTCCTGGTTAGAGGTCTGGATTTCTCGTTCAGACTGAGCACCAGATGGTGATCGATCTTGACGACTATCCTTGTTAAGGAGAATGCTCCTGATAACTCTTCCACTAGCTTCATGCCTCTGGTTCTGTTTGAGAGCAGTTAAACCATGTAAGTATTTTGCAAGGAGATAGCAAAATCTGCTGCAGTAAGGAACAGCCAGAAAATGACACAAGAAATGAAATAGAAAGTGTTGGCAGTTTCCTTTCTATTGGCCATAATAGTGCACACATGAGACCTTTTGAGTAAGACTCGAGACAAATAAATAAAATAATTCAAAAGACCATAAAAATCCAAAAATATGCACACAGCAAACCAACTCAGAAGATGGCAAAAACACAATCTACTTACTAATACCTAATTATGCTTGCTATTAACCTGTTTTAGAAAGAAAATAAGATCATCTGGTTTTAGTTGTAAGAGGATAGGGCAAGTCTGGCTTCGCTTGTTCCCCTACCTAATTATCAATTCCTATATCTTTCTAGCTTTTAACCTTTAAAACTTTCTAAGCTACGACTCAGGTTGCTTATATGTAAGATGGATCATTTATTATAATTCAAATGGCAATAAATGTGTGGAATTTGTAAAGCAGCAGCAACATGTCATGTCTTCAAACAAAGTATTACTCAAACCAGTTGATGAAAAACTTCTCTTTTCAACTTAAGCAAGCAGAGCCTCAATGCACAGTGAGAAAAAAAAAATTATATATATAAAACTGATAACAGATGCAATAGTAAGGCCAAAGTGCAATAGTAACTGATAAAATTATTTTTCTTAGTTCATGCTATCTGAATCGAATTTCTTTCTCCTCCTCTTTCTTTATAAGTTTGTATTGTTTCCTTAAAAAACCAAAAAATATATGTATATATTCATTCACTTTCTTGAAATTTTAGCCTACAAATGAAATTATAATTCATTCGGGAAAGGAAAGATGAGAAAACTAGGTTTAAATCTTAGATTTCAGTCTTTTTTCATTTGTAAGAGTGCACGTATATTTTATTAATGAAAAAAGAAATAACTTACAGTGGGACTTTCTCTCTCTTTTCCCTTCAAGAGCAACATTTTCTTCTTCCCAACATCAGTGAATCCGGAACCTCCTGAAATAAAGTCAATAATGTCACGCAAAAATGAGACATGATTGATGGTAGTGGCAGGAAGAATGGAGAGCCAAGACGGAAAATATTACTCTAATCTAACAAGATGATTCAATAGCTTGCAATAATTTAAATTGGCTGTAAACCAGATATAAGCATATGATTTTCCCAAAAAACCAAGACATAAGAGAATGATATAGTAATAGATCCATGTGTAAAACAAGCCAAAGCATATATACAACAATATCAGCTGATTTCGCATCAATTGCATATAAATAATATTAAAAGAATTAAAGAAATCACAAGGGTTTTTCTATAATAAATTGGAGAAGATAACTCTGCAATAAGGAGAAACAATGTGAGGCAAAAAGAAGGCTCAGCTCCAAGTTGTTTGAGAATAGTAAATGGGTCAGTTTGAAAATTAACGAATTTCTAGTCATAGAATATTCTTATCATGAGACACAGGTTTTGAGAATTCAAGAGATGGTCACGGCAAGACAACGGGAATTCCAACAAGCCTAACTAGGGGCTTGGGGGAAAATAACAAATGGTTAAATGTAACTGGTCATATTATTGTGCTTATATAGATACTTTTTTTAACAACATTCGTAACTGGGATAGTAAGATGAATAACCTAATTAATTTAGCGAACTAAAACATCTTAGTAACAAAGAAGAGAAAGCAAAAGTGGTACAGAAAGGAAGTTCAGTACCGATTGTTATAGTATTGTTCGAGCAATTAATAAGCTAATTGTAAATTTAATTGATTCATTTATCACATCGTGCAATTTTATTACATCTTGAGCAGACCCATTCAAAAACACACATGAATAGAAGAAAAAGATGCTAATGATGACAACCTCACTGACCCAATACAAACTTGTAAACTGAACTCAACGTGTAAACCACTTGGAGTCAATATCCCTTCACAAATGCAACCGATTCTCAACATCCCATTAAATTGAATTGAAAGATAATATTTAGAATTAATCCCTGAGTACAGGGATTAATTTCACAGGGGCCTGCCAGGTCCCTCACTGTAGCAGGCAGCCACATGTTATTAAAAAAAAAAAAACTGCGGCGGGCCCCACTGTGTCTGTGTATCCTGGCAGTGAACTGTGAAACAGTCCCTGTACTTCAAGCAGG